CTGTAGAAAAATTCTGAGTAAAAACGTTTTTCTATGTTTCAGAGGTGGGATAGGGACTACAAACTTTCCGAAAAATTGAAAATGACTTTCTCAAGGTGCCATATACCTCATTCGACGCAGAATTTCACGCTGATTCTGAATATGCAACTCTTGTTCAGAAATATCAAGGGAAAATTTTGACCTTTATAAGCCCCCTTCCTTTTGTGCAATATTTTCATACTTTTCTTGACATTTTTTAATAGAATCCGTAGAGAACGTACTTGAGACCAAGTACTTGAACTAAGTACTTCGTCTGCGTAATGAAGCCGGTACTTGCCTTTTTTCCAGAAGTAAAGACATTTGTAAGTACTTGTCCTTACTTGCCAAGTACTTTCAGAAAGTACTTCTTAGCAATAAGGCAAGTATTTGGATCATTGACAGGTAGTTAGCAAGTAATCAAGTACTTGCATCAAGTACGTTCTCTAGGGATCTTTAACATTTTTTTGATAGAAAAGCCTTTCTTCGATATTACTAACATACGCTTTTAATTAATCAAACACACATCTTGTAAACCATAACTAAATTAAACTTTTTCTTACATTCTGTCCGAATTTGTGTATTTATTTTTTCTCAAACAACAATATCAAGTTTGTGTGGATATATATTCGAGAAGCGTTTTATTCATTCTTTTCTTTCTTTCAATCGTATTTTGCTGTTTTAAATTGTTCGCTTATTGTTCATGATGGATTTTTTCTCAACATCGTTACTGTCTTTATAGGCAGACATTGTGCATATATAAAGTTTACTTCTTAACTTGTAATAAACATGACTCTTACTTGACGAGACGTAAGTATCTTTATTTGGTGCACAGAATTTGTTGTTACGCAGACGAGGTACTTTGTTTAGAAGATGTTTTTAACTGAAAACACCTGAACTGTAGGCATAATTCCAGAAAATAAAGAAATAAAGATGAATTAAACGATTGGTATTCCCTTTCTGAGAATAAGGTTTTTTCTCGGAACTAGCTGCGTTTGTTCTAGTCAATCTTCTCTTTCGAGCTGAATTAGTTTTAGTCGATCTGAGTAATTCATCATGACTTAAAACCATTTATTCGGACAATTGAAGAGAAATAATCGGCTCATGATTTGAAGTGAGGGTGAAGGCATGAACGATGACATACTAAGATTTTCCTACTTGTTAATTCACTTGAAAATAAAAATGAAAATCTTTATTTCTTTATTTTACCTTTATTTTTTAAAAATGAATGATTCGTTTATTTTCATTTAATAAAATAAATTTTTTTTCATTTATTCATATTTATTTTCTAAACTTACACTAAATTAACACCCCTATTTATGACTGCGATAGTTATTACCATCGTATTGTGAAATACCATTACTTCTGGAAGTTGTTGTAAGAAAGATAAATTCCTTGATTTTCAACCAGGATGCTCTCTCATGCGCTTATGTTTTAAACTGGACATTTCTTTAGAATGGTGTTTCTATGGAAAAGTACTGTTTTATTGACGGTTTTCCAATGCATATAATGTCGCTTTTATCTATTAAATTGTGGCTTTCGATGATTGTTATAAGCATATGGTGCTGTTCGTTCTCCATAATGAAGATGAGGACCAGTAACTGTTCCTGACTTGCCACTTTTGGCTATTTCTTGTCCAGCTTTAACAGTATCACCAACTTTCGCTATTTTTTTACTTAAATGTGCATATATATGTCGAATCGTCTTCCCACTGGCATCTTTAGATTCAATTAAAATGTGTAGCCCAAGGGCTGCACCCCAATTTCCACTTTTAACAACTCCAGCTCTTGTTGCTACTACTTTTGTTCCAACAGGACATGCATAATCATCCGCCGTATGAAAACCACCTGCCCAATTCCCTTTTGTACCAAATGGTGTTGTTATTTTTTTACCGGGAACTGGTGACACGCCGTTTGCTTGATCAGTAATAAAATGAGCGACAATAACGATAATAAATAAACGAGATAAGACATGCGTGTCAACCATAACTGTTCACTTTTGATAATAAATTCACACTGGAAGTGCCGTATATATACACATGTATATATATATATATAAATATATATTATATACAGAGAGAGAGCACCTGTCCCTAATAACGACGGAAAAAAAACAATCTATCATGGTTAACACATCGCATAGTCATTTGACACTCGAGTGAAAATATTTTTATATCTTCATAATCCTTGAAGTGTAGTGTTTCAAATAAAGCCCCCAACATTAGAAGACACATCCATTAAAAGATAGATTTTTTTAGTGATTTTTTTAAGAGTAAATAGCAGACTTCGACGCTTCTAGATTTTGCGTGTCTGCGTAACACAAGATAGTGTTCATCATTTCATTGCTTTGCACGGCTTTCTCTGGAAGAAAAAAAATAGCACTGCATTGTTGGTAAAAATATGAATATATGTAAAACTAAAAAATATAAATATATGTGTGAACACAAAAAAATCCTCGAAATTAAAACATAGAACAGTCAATCGATATAGCCCGTCGCGTCGAGTATACTAACACCCAAAACAATCATTAGTAGCTGAGCCTTTTAGCCGTTTTTACAAATGGCGATGATCAGTCTGGCCGGAAGACCTTTTGGGGCATCCGGGAGAATTGCTATAAATCAGTTATCACGATTCTCTCAGAGCTGTAAAACATC